TTGTTATAACGGAACTTCGTCAAAAGCATGGTTTACACTCCCAACACAAACATAAGGATAAGCTCAAGAAACCTACGAGTGAACCGGCGGGATGCAAACATAAGCACCTTGTGGCGAGAGAGAGGCGAGAAGAAGCGAGGCCCTGGAAACGAGGTCGCTTGAGCGTCCCCGGTTGAATGGTTAAAGGGACAGTGTCACAAGTTGCGTTTGTGCAAGATCGCATTTCTCTATGGGCTTAAAATTTATTTTACAGGGCACATTTAACCTAGCCTGTAATGCAGCCGGACAAGTCGCAAAATCCCCGGTATAGACTGTCTGCGACGCAGGCTAACCACGAGTGGCTCCACTAATCGACGCCACTTTGAATTTTGAAAAATTCTCCCTGAACTTTTCAAGTTTCAAACGAAATGTCGCAAATGCGCAATTCATGGCATTGTCACTTTAAAAGTGTATGCAACAATCTCCATTCTCGTATATGCGCTTCAGCTTGTGTTGTACATGTAGACCAGCCTTGCTTTACCAAAGAAGTGTATTGTTTACGATGCGGCGCACGTCTAATTGTTTTTTCCGAAAGTGACAACCGAACTGAGGGGAAATCTAACTCCCTTTGTCTTACGCAAAGAGTGCATCAACACTATTCGTTACTGAAAACCTTTATTATTCTTCACAACCAGAATTGGTCTTAGTTACAACAAAAGAAAAACATGAAATTACAGTCTATCTATAAGGCTATAGTTTAATTGTAAATTGCAAGATACAAATACATTGTTAAGTAAAACAAATACAAAAATTGTCGTGTTCAGCAGTGAGTAACTAGGAGACATCAGTCTTAAGTAGAAGGGGTTTTGTAACCAAGTCCAGACTACTGTCTACCTAAATTCGAACTGACTTCCTTACAAAACACTTTTCTATATATATAAAAATTTCTGGACAGTGAAAGAAAAGCTTCTCTCGTATTTTAGCTGTTATTTTTGCTTGCTACTTACTACTGTAGAACTTGTCAAATAACGTCAACGCAATTCATTAAATAAACAAAATTACGCAGCAACATTGAGCCAACCTGCTCAACTATGCTAATTCTGACTGCTGACTGTTTTAAAAACGCCATTATTAATATTCACCCCGTACTCCAATTCTTTTTATAGTAATAGTACAATCTACTACTTTCCATACGATCATACCCACTACACTCTTTTTTTCTAAGAATATTAAGGCTCATATTGCTGAAATTGTGATAATGTTCTAAGAATAACCCCATAGCTGAGATTTTCAAGAGAATGTAATTTTGTGTGTTGAAATGTTTGTAAATACAATTGTATGTTTTTAACTAAACCGTCTAAAATTCTCCCTTTCTCTAAGCAGCAAAACTAGCCAAAGAACAACAAAACCAGCACTAGCCGTATATACGATGCTAATAATATTTCTACAAGAAGTTAGGTGTGCAATATCAGGCTTTGTTGCCTGCTGTGAGTCTGGCTCCAACATTACTTTAACGTCATCCGAGTCATGATAGGATAGATGACAAGCAAATATCATAGCCTATAATCTAAGAATATTCACACGGAAAAACAATATTCGTATAAAAAATAAGGAGTGTAACAAGCAAACTTACCAGATGGTGGTTTAGATCAATCTTGTATGAAATTTTTTTCCATTACTTCATAGATGAAAACATTTGATGCCATTTGATTACCGTGACTCTTATTAGTCAGGCTGTTTAGGATAGCTACCTACAGGTTAAAGTTTAAACTACACCCACATTTGCCTCCTTAAAAAGGGATATTTCTAAAATTTTTCGATGAGCATTCCCATTCCTTTAACATGGAAGTCCCCAGGCTAAAATCTAACAGCAGTTGATGTCAATTCACTCAATGTTCTCCAGCTTCAAAACCCAGGCCCATTTGGAAGGAAGCTTGTTTACAGGGATGGCAGGAAAAGTGACAATTATACCACCTTTGTCACCTGCTGGTTTCCAGGCAAACTCTCCTTGATAACCCAACATGGTAACTGTAGTGTGTTCGGTTGCCACTGGAGCTCCAAGAATGAGGTTACTTGTAGCCGGCCACTCAAGGACGATGGCATACACAGCATCAGCTTTGGACGTGTACCTAGCAATAAAAGAGAAGCAGAGTTATGGTCATTGGCTTTTACATAACATAGAACAAGAAAGTTATACAGAGAGGGACAAAGATTGAATAAGTGGAAACACTACGGGGAACATTCAAAGGCTGAAGTCCCTTTTAGATGAGAAAACATTTTACTCAATTCAACCTACCAGACATCTTTGTTAATGGTGTCATTCTGAGCTCTCCACGGTTTGGAGCTGTAAATGGCTTCACCATTCACAGACAGCCACTCTCCCATCTGCAACAGTCGCTCCTCAAATGCAGGTATGATGCGGCCATCTGCCGTCGGGCCAACATTCAACAACATGTTACCACCACAGCTGACCAAAAGAAAGCAACATTTTAAAACCTCCAACATTGAGCAGTGTTACAAATCCCAGATGGAGAGCTAATTGGCTATTCACATTGCATTGTGGCCTAGCGACAATCCTCACCTTACGGTAGAAGCCAGTTGATAGATCAGTTGACTGATGTTCAAATATGAGTNTGTACCTAGCAATAAAAGAGAAGCAGAGTTATGGTCATTGGCTTTTACATAACATAGAACAAGAAAGTTATACAGAGAGGGACAAAGATTGAATAAGTGGAAACACTACGG